ATAGATAGATAGATAGATAGATAGATAGATAGATAGATAGATAGATAGATAGATAGATAGATAGATAATCTGGCAGTGATAAATGTGAATAATTCTGTCCTACCAAAGTAAAAGCAAGCATTCATTCTTTCTAACAAGAAATTGGGAAAGCAGGGGGATATGCTATCTCTATATGTTCATTAGAGGTCTAGAAGAAAGTTTTTTATTTGTAATAGTTGCCCTGGTACTCCTTGATATCAGCACTTACTGGATGCCTATATTACTTGCATTATAGCATGATTCAGTGGGTAATCCCGGAAGTGTTTGCGAAGAGCCATGGAACAGAACTCCATGTTACTTCATATTTAAAAGCAGATAACAGACCTTTCAGAGGCCTTGTGAACATCATAAAGCAAGTTCAGACACTGAAACCATACTGACAGACAGGTATCAAACTGGATTCTTACACTGCCCACCAAAGCATACAATACATTTTTCAGATCAGATTTTTACAGATTGACATATCCCTAAGACTATGAGTTGCTCAATGATAAAAGGGAAAGGAGGGGATGAGGGAAAAGAGGTTGAAGGGAAGAGTAGAATATGGGAAAGTATAAAATGAGAGATAGAACAGAGTGTTTGTCCACTCTGATATTGATTCCACATACTTTGAACTTAGACATCAATATTGCTAGTACGTATATGGATTCTATTTACATTCTCATGAAGAAATATGGCCTTTGACTTATGCAGTCCTGGTACAGAATGAAACTGGACCATATCTTTTCAAGCATGCAGAGAAAAAAATACTGAATAAAGTTATCATAAAGACAAGAAGGTGCTGGCCTGTTTGTAAGGGACCAGAGAACAATACTAAAAATCATAATGAAATCCACAGACTAACACAATCCTATTTACAAAGGCCAGAATCCAAGCTAGATGGTGGTGATGATGATAATATTTTTAGCATTGTGGGATCTGGCCCTTCTTAACAGAGCTGACCTTTACAGTCAAAATGTTATTATTTTCTAAGTAGGCTGATGAATCATAGCAAATTCTGAGTTCAGTACAAATTTGCTGCCAAAAGACAGCCCCTTGAGAGTACCTCCCCCTCAGTAGTGAAGCCAGCAGAAAGTGGCTGTTTGATCAAGGCTTTTGAGAGAAACGTAAATTCATCCATAAAGGTGAATCATGAAAGCAGAAAATCAGATTGCAAGTGTGAGTCATATTCTCTGCTTGCTGTTGGAGCAACTAGAAAAGAAAAAGAATCCCACCCACAAAAGTTTTGGCATGTTCGCCAAGAAAGAAAACCCCATCCAGAAAATGTCCAAGATGTTTTCCAACTCAAAATGTGGAGTTATTATTCTTTAAGACAAAAGGCAAATTCACAATTCAAATCAGGAATCTAAGGAATTATTGGCAAAATATTTGAAAAGGTTTGGTTTCAACCTAGTTTCCATTTCGTTGGCAATTTGGGATTGTGTAATCCTTTTGGGGATGTGATGGCTCAGCTGAGCTTGTCATCTGGAAAGCTGATAGTTCTGGGTTATCCGACCTGAATGCCATGCAATGGGTTGAGCTCCCATTACTTGCCCCATCTTCTGCCNAAATATTCTGCCTTTTCAATATTTCCTAGGATATTTCATTTTTCTGGGACAGGGCTGGGTGATAACTTCCTACAGTACAAGGTATCATGTCTTGTAGGTGCAAACTTTCCTGTTGCTTGGGGGATTCCAATCTGGTGGAAGGCAAATTGCTTTATGTCTCCTCATCCTTTTTTAAAAAGGAAACTTAGGAAGAAAGAGAGGTTGTTATTTAACACTGCTTTGCCTTAGCCCTTTCTCATCTATAGTTTCCAAACTTGAGCAGTGGATTTGATACATAGATGGATAGGAGACAAGCGACACCAGGGCCATCCCTTAGATACGGCAGGAGAAAAGTAGCTTGAAAGAAGCTAATGGTAGACTCTGGTCCTATCTCTGGTAATATACACCAGCAGCGAGGAAATGGGGGTTGTGTCACCTAGCTATAACTGTGGCCATATAACGCGGCCGGCTGCGCTCTAAACTGGCTCCCTTTTTACCAACCGGCGACGGAGAGGCACCAACGGAGGGAGGGAGGTGTCGTAGCTGCGATGATGTCTGGCCTTCACCTCCTGCCGGTCCGAATACCTTTCTGCTTTCCGCGGGCCGCCATCCGGAGAGCGAGCAGGGCCCTTTGGCGCGTCTCATTGACAGGCCTGGTGGCCAACGCTGACCGGGCTCTTCAGCTATTGAAGCAGTGCCACGCATGCGTGGCGCTCTTCTCGGCGGTGGTGGCGGCACCCTGCCTGTGGCTTGAAAGTTGCATTCCTTGAATCTTCGCGGGTGGGGCGGAGAGTGAGAAGGGGGGAGGGGGATAAAAAAAAAGAGGCATCCGCTGTTCACCAGGAGGAAGGAATGTGGGCAGTTCAGCTCCGAGAGGGCGCGGGGATTTTTGTCTTCCCGGTGATGGTAGCTGTGGTCTCCTATGCGAAGAGGTGAGGATGGGCGCTTGGGCGCAAGGAGGCGCATATGTGGGGTGGGTATCCGTGTGTATGCGTGCGTGTCTGTCTGTCTTTCTCTCCCCCGTCCCCCGTGTGTCCTCGCCCCCCCCCCGGGGAGGCAAGGATAAATAGATTGTGGCCGGGAATGGGAGGGTGTCTCCCTCCTCGTCCTGAATCACTTTCTTTCTGCCTTGTTTAGCGTGACCGAGCCTAGCAACATGTCCTACGTGAAAGAGACGGTGGACCGATTGCTCAAAGGATACGACATTCGCTTAAGGCCAGATTTTGGAGGTAATTCTCCCCCGATTTGTTTACAACAGGAGACAACGCGGTGCCTTGCCTTCCATTCGGAGGCAGAAGGCTGGTAAGAATGTTAATCAGCCTGCCTGTGAAGTAGCACGTCCAGTCTCGGGAAAGACTCCTCCGAGTCGGACTCATCTATATGTGTGCCTGTCGTCTATGTCTCTTTATGCGACACTGTTGTTTTGCAATCATTTGGAAGAGTGGTTTGCCATTGTCTTTTTCCGGGATTTTAAAAATTACTTAATCTAGTTTACAAGCTTGTCCAAACAGGATTCTGCTTAGCTTTGTTAAACCAGCTAAGACTGGTGAGGGGGTGTTGCATACTATCCCAAATATATCTTTTTTGATTCCCCCTCTCTTTCTTTCTTTCTTTCTTTCTTTCTTTCTTTCTTTCTTTCTTTCTTTCTTTCTTTCTTTCTT